TAATCACAGGCTTGGTGGTTCAAATCTACCAGCGCTCTAAAGGAGAAAGACGAAGCTGTCTGCTGCCATGATAATTTACAGTCCAGTGTCAAGGTTCAAGTTGATATCAACGTAATGGTTCCGCTGTGGGGAGGGGTGGGATCAATCAGGTGGTAGCCTAGTGATGCCTCCTTGGGGGGATGGCCTTTTCTGAAAGGACAGTGGGAACTTCTCTGGATGGCACTTTGCCTTCCTCCGTGCCGGGACTTCACTGGGACTCTGCCTCCCACCCAGAAGAGCTCTCAGGCCCTGCCAGGTTTCCCCTGATCTTGGATCCTTGAGACTCTCCACCCACTGGTCTGTGATCTTCCGGTTTCTCATTTCTACACCATCGGCCTGCAGCTACTTGAGTCTGAAGAGGCTAGCATTGGACCGTGGACTTGAGTTAGACTGGGTTGGGATGTCTCTTTGATCTATTACTTTAAAAAAAAACACATTTTATTGGGGGCTCATACAACTCTTATCACAATCCATCCATACATCAATCGTGTAAAGCAACTTTGTACATTCATTGCCCTCATCATTCTCAAAACATTTGCTCTCCACGTAAACCCCTGGCATCAGCTCATTCCCCCCCCCCACCTCCGCCCTCCCTCATGAACCCTTGATAATTTATAGATTATTATTTTGTCATATCTTACACTGTCCGGCATCTCCCTTCGTCCACTTTTCTGTTGTCTGTCCCCCAGGAAGGCAGTCACATGTAGATCCCTATAATCAGTTCCCCCTTTCCAACCCACCCTCCACCCACCCTCCCGGTATCACCATTCTCACCACTGGTCCTGAGGGAATCATCCGTCCTGGATTCCCTGTGTTTTCTTGTTGTAAAGTTCCTTCTTATGCATTTGAGTGCCTCACTAGGCAGAAAACCCCTCGTTTCCCTAGACAGAAAAACCCCTCGCTGCGATGGAGTCCACTCTGACTCAGAGAGCCCTGGTCAGGACCGACGGCAACTGCCTCCCAGGTTTCCAAGGCTGTCCTCTTTACAGACTGTCTGGTCTTCCTCCCAGAGTCCTTTGTCAGCTTTGCACAGCCAGCTCTTCGGTTAGTAGCCGAGCCCGTCACCAAAGCTCCACAGGGATCCTTTGAATCCATCCTACATGCTCTCCCGCCATACAGACATGTCCAGGCTGGGGTCTGAACGGCCCCGACGATTTATCCTGAAGAGTCTAACAACCGTCGTGCCCAGCTCAACCATATCAACAAAGGTTGGGAGCCTGAACGAAATGGAGAGATTTGACCTCTCAGAACTGGTTTGCTTTTTCATCAGACCTGGGCGGGACCAGCCATATTTGCCTCAAAATAGTCAGGAATCTGAAACTTCCCTTCCTAAGAATTCATTTAAACTTCACCGAGCAGACCAGTGTTTTTAACCAGGAGACTAGGATCGTAGTAATCAATGTAACCTTTGATTCTGTGATATATTCCAGTCCCTCCAGGGCCTCTAGAAGGTTAAAGTTCCCAGAAGAATGTCATCATCACTCAACTATGCATACTGATTAGACGACAGCCCCCGGATGTATGAAATCCTGATAAGCAGGACATTGCACATTTGAAACTTATCAAGAGCAGGACAGCAAATCTGCACTCACTTCCAACCTAAGTGCAAGCTCCTCAGTAAACGGAGCCGGCCGGGTGCAAAACAGTCACATAGTCAAGATGGTCTAGAACCCAGCTTAGAAAAACCAGACTACACTGAGACGTGGGCTATGAAAGTAAAAACACACTTCCCAGGGCTGGGCCAGAGCACCTCCTACCTCTGGCAGACTAGGACCCTTCAGAGGCCACCTCTAAAAGGCAAGGGAAAGTATCTGAAACGCTCTTGCTTTCAGCAAACACGTGTATGACAGTATTCCTCAAATAATTGCTTTCGTATTTTTTAATATAGGTTCAAAGACTTGGTGAAAAATGAACCAAGACAATCACTTATTACCAACCATTTAAGACTTTTTAAAAGGGGGCATTCACCCAAGGACAAAATTCGGAACGCTAGCAAAGAGGAATGGAAGCAGAAACACAGGGATGAATAGGCCTGTGTGATCCAACGGCTATAAATAATAACATCTAAGAAGGGGGAGGGAATGGTACGAGCTTGAATTCTGAGCACCTGGCTTGCAGAAGGCAATGGGTGGCAGTGAAAGCCCAATTCATTTGTGGGGTCCCCACGTGGGTTTGGCCTCTGGTGAACCCCTATGACCATTGGATAGGGATGTGCATAGCCTTGCCATCTGACAGAACACTGGAATGTGCATTTATGCAGATGTAGGTAGGTTTAAATTTAACACTTTTGCATAACACTATCATTTGTTCTCCCTTTTAAAATTTGTTCTACTTAAAATTTGCTCTAGTTTTTCATTTTTCCCCACTTTTTTTTCAATTGGAGTCTTTCTGTTTTATTGTTATTGCTGTTGGGTTATTTTGTATGTTTTTCTGTACACAAAACTTCAGGCTAGGTGAATCTATAGAGACAGCAGCCGGATCAATAGTCTCTAAGCATTATGTGAGGAGAGGCTGGGAGAAATGGGGAGTTAGTGAGTACAAGAACAAAAATGTTCTAAAATTGTGGTAGTGATCACACAACTCTTTGTAATATAATTAAACCACTGAGTTGCATGCCGATTTATTTTAATAAAGAGGAAGTGGGGCAAGTGATGTCATATTCCAACAGGAAGAAACAAAAATGTGTACAAATTTTTGAGTGGAAAACCAATAGTCTGCTCTGTAAAACTTTCCTCAATTTATGACAAAGTTGGGGCAAAAACAATAAAAGAAATAAAAGTACCTATATAGAGTCTTAGAGGCTGGAATTGATTCAGTGGCAACAAGTTTGGTTATGGATTTATTAGGGATCAAGAAGCGAGCCCTGGTAGTGCAGTGATTAAATTTAGCACTTACCTACTAACCCAAAAATTAAAAAAGGTCTAAGGTTTGAACCCAGCAGCCATTCTGTGGCAGAAAGATGAGGCCGTCAGCTTCCATAGAGACCTGGCTCTTTCCCTGGCCCACCATGACCCACCCCGTGGCCCCGGAAGCACTGCTGCTGGACATGTCATGGCATTAACTCTGCTTGGCAAGAGGTGCTGAAGAGCATCCTCATCCACAGCGCCTAACGCGTGGCACGTGAGAAGCTGACAAAGCCTAGACGAGCTCCAAGTCCACCTGTGTGTGCTGGCAC